CATAAAGTGTTTGGAAGCATTAAAAGATATGAGGTTTTTGGGTTTTTTGTTTGTTTGTTTTTTGTGGTGCTGGGGATTGAAGCCAGGGCCTTCACTCTAAACTGCATCCCCAGCTGCCCTGCCTTTTTAAAATTTTTGTGTTAGCTAGGCTGGCTCAAACTTGCTATCCTCCTGCCTCAGCCTCCCAGAGTGCTGAGATTATAGGCGTGCACCACCACACCTGGTTACAATAGGTATTTTATAGCCATGAAAATAACTTGAACCCTACTCCCATTTGAGATTCACATGGTCAATAGTTAATGCATTACTGGGTGGAGGTAGGAATGAAGAGGCTTAGTGGATGCTCATAGCACGTGGAAGCCACTGGAGACCAGGAAGGAGGACATCACCAGCAAGGAAGTTGGCTAAACTCAGCACTGCAGTGCGAAGGTCAGGCCAAGAGTGTGACCAAGGAGCCCCAGGAGGCTGCTCCCCAATACTCCAAACTAACCTCCTTCCTTCCGAAGTGCAGAGGATATATGCAGGGAGCAGCATATATCCACCTGGCTGTACAACTTCAGAAAATTACTTCTACGTACCTAGTTTTCCTCGTCTGCAAAATAGGAAAGGACTGACAGTGCTGGCAAACTCCATGATTGTGTTGGAGACCACAAGCAGATTGTACTCTTACCATAGCGCTCAGTGCATGACTAGTATTTAGTAAATGGTCATGATGGGGACAGTGAGGAAGACAGAGGAGTGGCTCATCCAGAAGGCTCTGAAGGAAAACGCTGCTGGCAGGTGGGGAAGAACCATCATTAGAGACTCAGGCAACTCTGCTCCAAGGATCAAACATCTGCTTCCCCAGTGAGTCAAAGTAGGGGGACTGTGAGCCCCAGAAATCTTGGATAGGTGACCAGGGCTGCAGGTATGGTCAGAAGAGTGGGCATTGTCCCATGAGCCAAGGACGAAGGCTAAGGATGGGCCACCCTGTCTGCATGGGCAGCCAGCAGCAGGGATCTGGGTGACAGATGCTTGGCAGAGATGCCATAGGTGGCCAAAGGCTGATGGTCAAAGATGAAAACAGCAAGCATCAGGGACAAAGGCCCACGGCAGGGAGTGGGGAGGTGGTGGACGACAAAGCAGAGAGACGGTGAGGAGAGCTGCTCTAAATCAGAAGTGCTCTGATTAAAATGAGATCCCGGCCCTACCTCTTTCTCATCCTTGGCCACAGCACACCTAGAGAAATGCCACAAGGGGAAGGCTGTGACCCCACATTTTGGCAGTTGATTGCAGCAGATCCAGCACACTGAAGGACAAGCAAGTAACCTTAGCCAAGCCCCACAGTGTGGAGGGGTTAGGAGTTCTGTAGGAGGCCTTTCTTCTGATGGGCACAGCTAATAGATTATGACCATGGCTCTCAAGCGGGGAATACCGAGGTTGCTGTCCATTCCTGGGCTGGTGGGTCTGAGAGAGACCACCACACTGAGGAAAGGCTGGTCACACCTCCTGGCCACTCCTCTAGACCTGCCTTTGACCTCTTCCCCTACTTGCATCCAGATCTCCATGGGAACTTTCGAAATCTCTTGCTGCCAGGACCCCATCCCCAGACATTCTGGTTTAGGCGCAGAGATTGGTATTTTGTAAATATCCAGACCAGAACTGCTATTCTGTCAACTCTATTCCTTGCAGAATCTTTCAAAGCCTCTGTTTCCTCTTCTTTAAGTAGGAATGATAGTACCTACCCCAGGATAATATGGATGACATTTAAAATACTTAGGAGCCGGGAATTCAGGTCAGTGGCACCGTGCTGGCCTTGGAAGTGCAAGGTCCTGAGTTCAATCCCTGGTACCAAAACATAAATAAATAAATAAAATACATGTCACTGAAGAAAAGGGTTGTAGGGCCGGGGATTTAGCTCAGTGCTTCTGCTGCCAGCCTCACAAGTGCAAAGTCCCAAGTTCAATCCCCAGTACCAAAAAAAAAAAGAAAGAGGTTGTAGCCCACATCCTTGGGTGGTTCAGTCTCAGAAATTTATTCTCATAAATTTATGTTTGTGTTTAGAAGTAACTGTGATGTCTCCTGATTTTATCCAGTGGGAATACAGAACACATTTATGAAACAGTCCTGTCAAAAATTTGAATAAGAATCTAATCAAGACTCTGTCTAACTTTCAATTTACAGAAAATACAGGGGATGGAGGTACAAACTAAATGGCACCATGAATAGGCAGTATACAAATCTAGACTGTGGGGCCAGGGATTTAGCTTAGTGCAAGCACAAGGTCTGGAGTTTGATTCCTGGTACCAAAATAAATCTAGACTTTGGATCAGTCTCTAGTGACAAATAATCCAGTTTCTCCATCAAATTAATGGCAGAAAATAAAGAGAAGGGGCAATAAAACAATTTAAGAAACATAATAAAAAAACAAATAATTGAGTTTGACAACCAAAACACTTCAAGAGGAAATTACCATATGATCCAGTAATTGAATACATTATGCTAAGTGAAATAAACCCAACTCAAAAGACAAATACTGTATAATTCTACTTTATATAAGGTGGCTACAGAATAAGCCAATTTACAGAGATAGAAAACAAAATAGAGGTCACGGGGGATTTGGGGTTCATGACTATTGTTTAATCGTTTCTGTTGGATGATTTTTAAAAAGCCCCTGGAAATGGATAGTGCAGATGAGTGTACAACATTGTGAATATACTTAACACCTACTGAATTATACACCTAAAAGATAAATTGTACACATTTAATTTACCACAAAAAAGTAGTTCCATTTTTTTTATTTATCTCTTGAAAAATAGTAAGGGAAACCCATAGAAACAGCCCACAGCAACATGTTGGAATCTCTTTGCTCTCATATCCATGCCCCTCCCCACCCACATTGTTTTTGGGGGGGTTCTGTTTTTGTTTTTGTTCTGAGACAGGGTCTCAACTTATGGTGCAGGCTGGCCTTGAACTCACTATATAGCCCAGGCTGGCCTCGAACTCAAGGCTCTCCTCCTACCTCAGCCTTGGGAGTCCTGGGATTACAGGCGTGCACCACCACGCCCAGCTATTCAGCCCACATTGATTTCTGCACACTTCTGCTCACATCACCACCCCCACCCTGCAGCCTTCACAGCCCTTGCCTCTCTCAGCACTGGATTAGATAGCCTGACAGCCTCCCTCAGAGTAAGAAAGAATGCTTCCTCTCCAGGGTGAAAAGGAGGGTGAGGAGTAGGCTAGCTACAGAGGACCAACGAGCTGCCAGAGGTAGAAAGGTTGTGGTCACACCCACAGTGGTAATGGAAGCCTAAATCCTTAGTTCCCTCCCCCCAGAATGATCTCACCCTTTCAGAGCATGTAGGCTTCACTGCTTCACAGGATTCCACGCCCATGATCAGACCCAGTGATAGTGTTGCTATTGAATGGCAACTACACCTGTACCAAGCACAGTAATCTATTCCTATAGTCCTTATAACAATCAAGCATGGAACCACTGTTACTACCATTTTGCCAGAAACTGGGAGTCACATAGGGCAAAGGCCTTCCCCAGCCAAAGTTACACAGCCAAGTTTCTCTCAATCCTTGGACTCAGATCACTCTACTAAGCAGCTGCCAGTTCAAGATTCACATTTCTGGGAAGTTTTCACAAGTGAGTACACTGAGGCTACCCTTGGAGATCAAGTGACCAAAAGAATCACTGGCAAAGTAAAATTTTCTTCTCCTCAGGAGGCTCCCACACCCTAAATGCCTCCCTTCTCATCACAAAATGTCAGCTACTGAGCCCAAATCCACTCCGCTGGGTCTTGGCGACTGAAATGAGTACACACATTGCAAACTATTAAGGTAACCACAGCTATGTGGGGAGAGAGCAGCCAGATTCGGGGTGGCTTCTGACTGCTCTAGCCCCTCCCCCCAAGAGTGGCATCTAGACTCCCCCTAGCTACAGTCACTTCTTGGAAAAACAACCATTTGTCTGCACCCTGATGGCTCCCAGTGCACCGACAGTGGCTCTTTGTGGGTGTCCAAACTCACTCTTCTTCATCCAAGCTGCTGCCCACTGGCCAGGGCCATCCACCTCGCCAAGATGGCACCTGTTTTGGGTTTCACTGTCCCTGGGCCTGTGCCTGGTTTAACTCAGATGTGCAAAAACAGCAGCCCCAGCACTGTCTCTCTTCAAATTCCAACAGCCCATAACCAAAGCTCATGATACGTGCGGTAATAGGACCCAGCAAGGCAAAGAGCGATATAAACTATAAACAGAGGGTAAGCTCAACAAAATACACAGAAAGAAGAAAACATTTCAAAAGGCCTTGTATTCTCCACAAAGAATTTTTCCTGGTTATTTTATTATTTGTTTGAATTTTTTAACCAAATTTTCTACTTCAAGCCAACATTTTTATAATTAAAAAACATGCCTCGTGGCCAGGCATGGTGGCCCAAACTGTCATCCCGCACTCTGGGAGGCTGAGGCAGAAGGATAACAAGTTGGAGCCCAGCCTGGGTAACTTAGCAATTAGTAAGATTCTATCTCAAAATTATAAATAAAGAAATAAATTTTTTAAAGGCTGGAAATGTAGCAACGTAGCTCAGTGCAAAAGCCCTGGGTTCAATCTCTAGTACCAAAAAAGAGGAAAAACAAAAACCCACCACCACTAAAAATACCATCTAACGGGCAGGGAATTTAGCTCAGTGGCACCTCACCTGCCTCGAAAGCACAAGGTCCTGAGTTTGATTCCTGGTAGCAGAAAAGCAAAAACAAACAAACAAAAAATACAAATTTGTTAAACAATTCATGGCACGTTAAATGTCAGAGAAAAAATTAGAGGAGAAAAATCAAAGGTAGATGAAGACCGGATGATTCTGAGTTGGAGTTTTAATTTTATTAAGCATGTAATATCTTAATTTTTCTTCATTTTATGTGGCTCTGTTTTTCAGAACTTTTCCAATGAAGAATCATTGCATTTATGACAAATAAAACAGTATTTCTCTTATCCCTGTCAGGAGGGCCCCCTACTCACCTATCTCTGGAGAAGGACAGAAAAATAAAAAAGAAAAGCTACTCTGAAGGTCTTGTCCGATGCCACTTCCAGCGGTACCTCAGTTGGAACCTATGAGGAAAAAGTTCCTTCATAATGACGTCAACCTTGCTTTGAAAAAGAAGTCTCTAAAACTCGTGAAAAACACAGTTGATGTGAATCATATGTCTGAGTGGCGGAGTTCCCGCTATGCTGGCCGAGTGCACAGATGTTCAGGGCAGAAATTCCTCTCCACACAGCCATGACTCCTCCTTGGAGCGGTGGAAGGTAAGTAGCCTGGCCCTTGTCAATGTCCCTGCCTGGGAGGCTGGCCACCGTGGCCCCAGTGTCTTACCTCCTCACCCCTTGTGATCTATTCCCTTCTCTAGTCCTCCTCCTTGTCAAAAAGTAACAGGATCTGATGGTAATCATTTACTCTCCTTGACGGATGGATTACACTTCAGCGGATAAGCTAATAGCTTAACCGCTCATTAACATTTAAAAACTTCCAATTACAGAAGGAAAAACCTCTACTAAAGAATTTCAGGCATCAGCCAGCAGGTGCAGTAATGCTTTTGCCAAAGGGAGAAGGGCTTGGGTCCTGAAAGTAAATCTGATTTAGACTTCCTGAGACTCGGGGTGCCAGGGGAGTAGAAAGAAGGGTGCTGGTCCTGTCCTATGTGGCTTCTCTGGGAAGATAAACTGGGCTGGGCTGGTTCCGCCTGCTGGAGTTCCTGGGAAAGAATGAGGCGTCTTGTGTGCTCCACATCTGCAGCCTGTCGTTCCTGGGTGAGTCTAGCTGGTACTTCCCCTTTACCATCGTTCCTTTGTTCCCTCTTTCACATTCACCCTTTTCCTCAGTTTCCAGGGACTGTGTTTTCACTGGACTGTGTTTCCTGGCAAGGTTCTTCCTTAGGTGGCGCTCGGCAAGCTTTTCAAACTGCAGCCCACCTCGTCTGCCAACCTGGAAGCCTCTTTATGCTTCATGGGGCATTTTGGACTCTAACATTTCTGACCACAAAATATGTGCTTAAATTACACCTCTCCCTTAGCAGAGATGTTATGAAAGTTTCCCTTCCTAGTCCTGAATAAATCCTCCCTCCTTTCTTCCTCCTTCTCCAGACTCCCACATGCCTGGGTGGTTGTAGGTTGGCAGCAAACTCAAACAAACAGACCAACACATGAATGTATGTGGCCTAATTGTACCAAGTAACAGCTATTTCTTTAACTCTCACTCTGCTCACATTTTATCTTTATGTATTACATAATTTAAATGTTAGATGAGACACCGTGTCCTTTGGGATTCACATAGAATTGAATCAAAACTTCATCCTCTATTCTTACGGAGATCCAATTGTCTCCTTAGTATCCCAAGGGGTTCTGATATCTACTGATCTATTGATTTCACACAAATCTCGTAATTCTGGCATGTGTGTTCCTTTCATTTCCCCTGGCAAGAAACTTAGTCACATTCCTAATTTTTTAAAAACCATTACACACTGGGTGCGGTGGCACACATCTGTAATCCCAGCATTTGGGAGGCTGAGGCAGGAGGATTGTCATGAATTCAAGCCCAGCCTGGACTACATAGTGAGTTCAAGACCAGCCGGAACTGTGTAGCAAGACCCTATCTCAAAAAAGTTAAAATAAATTTTTTTCAAAAACCATTAAATATCTCATGGCTTATTCCCTGCCCTCCTTTCAGTCTTTATTCAAAATGGCACCTGAGGGCCGGGGATTTAGCTCAGTGGTTTCACCGCCTGCTGTGCAAGTGCAAGGACCCCAGTTCGATCCCCAGTACCAAAAACAAAACAAAACAAAATGGCACCTGACTGGAACATTTCTCAAACTATCCTTTTATAGTCGCATCCAGTTCTTCTTCCCAGTTCCCCTTCTCTTGCTCTGTGTTTTCCATAGCACCTTCTGCCCTCTATTTGACTTATGGACTATATTTATTGCTGTATTATAATTGATCTATTTATTATATGTGTTGCTGTAGTTTGGATCTGGAGTGTCCCCCAAAGGCTTATTGTTGAAGGCTTTGTCCCTGTGTGCAGTGCTATTGAGAGGTGTGGAACATTTAGGAGGTGAGGCCTAATGGGAGAAAGTTAGGTCATTGGTATTGTGCCCTTGAAGATTGAGACTCCAGCCCTCTGTGTGTCTCTCTTTGCTTCCCAGCGACCATTAGGTGACAGGCCTCTTCCACCACGTGTTACCACCATTGATGTCCTGTGCCACCACCAGCCCAAAGCAACAAAGCCAAGTGACCATGTACTAAAACCTCTGAAACCATGAGCCAACATAAACCTTTCCTCCTTTTAAGTTGATTATCTCAGGCATTTTGTTACACTCACAGAAAGCTGACTAATACATTATTAATGATCTTCTCCTACAAGTTTATAAATTCCACATGGGTGGGATTATTGTCAGTTTCATTCCCTGCTGACTTCCTAGCACCTGGGACAGTGTCTGGTGAGGGAAAAAAATGCTCAATAAACTTATCAGAAACCTTCATGATACGGCAGGTTTTACTGAAAATCCTTCAGCACTGCTGCTCACAATGTATCCCTGAACTAGCAACATCAGGGTCCCCTGGGATCTGTCAGAAAATGCAGGAGGGCAGGCCCCATCCAGACCTTCTGAATCAGCATCTGTAGTTAACAAGCCCCCAGGAGATCTAAGTGCTCCTTAAAGTGTCTGTGTCACAACAATGCAGACTTGGACCTTAGACACCTTCTATTCTCAAAAAGCTTTTCTCGTATGCAAGGAACTAGCAATAGCGGGTCTCTTTGGGGAGTGGACCTTGATGCCTGGGGGAGGGGATTATACCCTAGATATCATTTTGTACCTTATTAGCTATTTAAAAGTGATTAAATTGACGGCTTGTAAAATGGCACATAGTAAAACGTACCCTTCAGCTGCTTCTCCCTGACCTCTGTTTCCTGCAGCCTCTGTCTTGCTTTCTAGCTTTCCCCTACAACTCTCCCCCCAGTCTGAAGACCATGTCTCTACTGCAGCTGGTGTAGAAGGCAGAAAAGACTACAGACACTTTGGGTTTGAAAGAGCTTTACTTTTTTATATTCGTGTAGGAGAGAATGTCCCTAGCTTCCCTCCCTTTCCCTCGGAGCAGGGGCTTTGCAGGAACGGAGGCCCCCATGTTCAAAGTCCCAGGGGCACCAGGATGCTGGCACCAATGACAGGCTCTGCATTTCATCTCCAGGGAGTCCTTGCTGTGTGTGTGGAGTCTCAGCCATGGCCACCTGCTCCAGTCTTGTGTGCTTCTTTGCCAGCCACGTCAGACTCATGAGCTCCCCCAGCTGCTGAGCTGGAAGCAAACATACTTGGCTGGGTCGTCTTCCCGGCACGCAGACAGCAGCCTTTCTGACCCTGCGTGGAGAAGCCCTCGTCACCAGGCTTATCAGACAGTTTACTGTCATCTGCTCCCTTCACCTATGCCTTGCCTGTCCCACTGCATGCAGGAGACTCAGTCTCTGGCCCCAAGTAGGGCAGGGACTCAGCAAGGAGGCTCCAAAAGAGGAGGAGAAACCCTGGAGTGTCACAGGAGGCTGTGCCTCAGCCAATAAGCCAGTAGCCAAAGCAGGTAGATGAGAAGACACCGCAATGAACACTCCTAAGGAAAAGCAGGGGCTTTGAATGCAAATGTCCCCGCTGGGCAACCTCTGCTGCCCATGTGAGGACAGGACAATCTCCTGGCCTGCCCAACACTCACCAGCTGAGGATCACTGGTGGGCTCTAGTCAATTTCCTAAAGATCAGACCACTGAATGCCAGTTTGCCAGATTCTCTGAGCTGTTGGGGGTTTTCTCCAACCTTCTATTTTTGTGTCTCCTCAGTCATTTCCAATGCCAAAGGTCAGACTTCCCTCTATTGCTCTCCCTACTCCGGCTCCAAAGGCTGCCACACAAATACCCCAAACTGGGACATCAGAGCCAGTCCACAGCTGGGGACCGAGGCACTGCAAGGGGCAAGACTCAGAGTGGAGCTGGCATGGAACCAGGCAACTAAGTGTTTTAACTAAAACATAGAAAACTACTCAGTGCTTGCTAAGGGAGCCGTTACCGGGGTTTGCAGTAGCAGGTGAAGCATTCTTTTTCCCTCACATGTCTGTGTATTGCTGTAATTATTCACCATGATCTCCTTCTATGATGAGCAAGTAAAAATATCAAAACCAAGCAGTGATACAAGGGGTGGCTCACTCTGAGAGCACTGTAATTACTCCACAATCCCTAAGAAGCACCAATGTTGAGATCGGCATTCCAGCCATAGTCTGTGTGTGTGTCCCCTACATGATTGTGTCTCCTTCACACATCACCTCTGATCACCAAGCTGAAGTGCATCTCATTTCACATGCCGAGACATCTCTCCTTGCCCCGAGAACCCTCCTCTCTGTTTCTATCTCTCATTCGTTTTACAAAAGGCTCAGGGGTGAAATGCAATAAAAACAGTCGTTCAAAATCTGCTTTTTGAGAGCAAGCAGCTCAGCCCTGGAATGCAGGCTTTGCTAGTGGTTGAGCAGCTACCATGAAAGCAGAGTTGGCGCCCTGGACTCCCCACGCATAGTAGGTCCATGGGCGCCTGGTCATACTCTGCTTGATGGCACTTTCTTATGTCCTGGCCACAGTCTAGAACTGCTCTCCTTAAGTCACTGCCACAAATTATTCCCATACCCATACAACTGTGCTGGTGACTTGGCCAACAGCCCCTCCATGCCATAGCTCCAACTGGTGACATTTGTCACCTGACATACCGAAGCCAAATTTTAAATCTTACTGGTAAATGTTTTGACACTGAAATAGTCTATCCAGGAAAATGGGTCACTCCTTGGGCTTCTGCTGTTGTTGGTTTTTTTGTTTTGTTTTGGTGTGGTTTGGTTTGGTTTCTTTTAAAAGGAAAATGGCTCTTGACGCTGCCTGAAGGGGAATGGATGGGGTGCCCTCTTGAGGTCTCTGTGTGCCAGGGCTCCATGGAGCCTGACACCAAGACCTGCACACGCTGCACAAGGCCGGATCTCCTGGGTCACCACATCACTCTCTGGGGCTTGGGCGGGGCCTAGGGCCTGGCCAGCTTTGGTTAGAAGGCAGGCTAGGATGGGAAAGGTATTTCAAAGATTTGTCTGAAGAGGACACTGCTCTGCCTGGATCCATTATGAGACACTCCTTCATCTGCTCAGCTGACACCCACGGAGGCTGCGCTGAAGCCCTGGCGGCATCTGCAGCTCAGGATCTTGGGCTGAGCCCCGGCCTCATGGGGCCCACCAAGCTGACCTGTGGGTGACTTGTCTGGCTCCTTGCTCCCTCAACAGGGAAGACAGACAGTATTGTGAGTGCATCCTCCATCATA